AACCAAAACTCACATTTCTTTAGTTTAGCAAATAATTTTCTTTCCCGAAGTATTTGTAAAACAGTCCTCAAATGATGCTCATGTTTAAGTCTATCTTTAGAGTATATCAAAATATCATCGATGAAGACTACAACAAACTCATCAAGGTAGGTTTTAAAAATTCTATTCATTAAGTCCATAAATGCTACTGGAGCATTAGTCACTCCAAACAACATAACAAGAAACTCAAAATGACCATACCTTGTTCTAAATGCGGTTTTCTCAACATCCTCTGCCTTTACTTTGAACTGATGGTACCCGGACCTCAAATCAATCTTGGAAAACACTTGTGATCCTGCAGCTGATCAAATAAATCATCAATACGGGGTAGGGGGTACTTGTTCTTTATTGCTACCTTATTCAGTTCCCGGTAATCAATGCACAAACGCAAAGTACCATCCTTCTTTTTCACAAATAGCACTGGTGCACCCCAAGGCGAAGTGCTAGGTCGGATAAACCCCTTATCAAGCAGGTCTTGCAACTGTTCTTTCAATTCCTTCATTTCGGTAGTAGCCATTATGTAGGGGGTTTTAGAAACGGGCTGGGTGCCCGGTACAGTTTCAATGGTAAACTCTATCTCCTTGTCTATCAATTCCACTGGTAAATCCTTCGGGAACACATCCGGAAATTCTCTAACAATAGGAATATTATTCAATTCAATGTTCTCAGATTATTCAGACAACACATAGCACAAATAACCCTGGCACCCTTTCTTGATCAGTTTACACGCTTTCATTGTAGATATCAAATATAGTGGAGGCACTACCCCATTACCCACAAACACAATCTGCTTATGTTCTGGTGGTTTAAACACGACCCGTTTTGTTACACAATCAATGGTGGCACAATACTTGGTTAACCAATCCATGCCCAAAATTACATCAAAATGTCTAAAATTCAAGGGTAACAAATCTACATACAGGATAGCATCCTCATCACGCATTTCACAAAACTGGTATATGGATTAACACAGCACAGATTCCCGCGATGGAGAAGACACACATAGCAAATATGGCAATAATTCAAGGGGTCTATTTAGTCTAGATGCAAATGTACATGCCACAAATGAGTGTGTTGATCCATAGTCAATTAATACAAAGGCATCCTGATTAGATATTGAAATAGTACCTAAGACAATGGCATTGGCATTCCATGTATCACCCAGAACAAGCGTAAAAACTCTCCCCTGTCTCACTGTATCCCAGTAGTAGCAGAACTCAAAGTATTTCCCGGCTTTGGTACTGATGCAGTTGAAGTAGCTGCTAGTTTCCGACTGTTCTGATTATATTCTCGGGCTATGTGCCCCTGCTTCCCACATTTGAAACAGGCTCCTGATGCACGGTAACTGACTTCACGGTGCCTTTTGCTACAAATGTTGCACATGGGAGTTGTGTCTCGGGAAGAACTTGAAGTAGTTGAGGAGCCTGTGTTTTGCTTTTTCAGAAATTTCTTCTTCGAAAAGAAGCCTTGCCTCTTGTTGCCTTTCCGTTCTGTTGTTGGCTTAGCTTGTCTAGCTATGTTAGCCTCTGATATGATGGCCCTGTCAAGCACCCTAATGTAGGTCTCCAACTTCAAGACATTCACTCTCTCTAGGATGTCACTTCGGAGCCCACCCTCAAAATGTCTTGCCTTCTTATTATCAGTGTCAATTGCATGTGATGCAAACCTGGCCAATTCAGTGAATTTGGCCTCATACTCAGCTACAGTCATGCTGTCTTGCTTGAGTTCCATGAACTCGGCTACCTCCCTATCCCGAACACATTGCGGGAAGTACTTGTCATAAAAGATCTCCAAAAATTTTACCCAGTCCACCTCTTTATGATTCTCACGCATTAGCATCCACCATCTCCGGGCCTCGTCTTCTAGCATAAAAGTGGCTAGAAGCACTTTCTGTGTCTCTAAACATGGGAACACTTCAAATAATTTCTCAATACCGAGGACCCACGCTTCGGTTTTCAACGGATCTAATCCCCCGTGGAACTGTGGTGGTTTCATTTTCTTGAATTCCTTGGTGAGAGCTATTATCCGGTCATCATTTTGATTATCTGGCACGGGTGGTGCCAGAGGTGGAGGTGGAGGTGGCGGGTGTGGTTGCTGCCACTGTTGTTACCACTCCTGTTGCTGCCTCAAAGCCTCTGCCAATTCCTGAATCAGTCTTTCCATTTTGTCTAGTTTGGCAGTAGAAGATTCCTCTATCTCATCACCTCTGGTTCTCACCATCTGATTAAACATGCATTATATTTCATACAAAAGGTACACAAGTATGCATACACTAAGAAGCACATATTTCCAGATGATTTGTAATGCAAATTGTCACGACCCAAACCCGGCCCTATGGGTTAAGGACATGACTGGCCAGTAATCCTGTGATTACCTACGGCCTCAGACCGAAATAAGATGACTTGTCAGAGTAAAGGGGCCAAACGGAAGCAAAAATTAAAACTTTGTCCATAGAACCGTGCTTATATGCACATCAACAGACCATACTCAAATACGTTAATAACCCACATCAAAAGTACAGTTTCACAAAATTCATTACAGACAGGATCATCCAAAACGAGTCAACCTATGACAGACTATATACAGATATACATAAAGTCCTTGCCGACAAGACCAAATATAAAATACATGGCAAGGAGGCAAGGATAGGTCGCAAGAGTGAGACGCAAGGCTGACTTCCCCAAAACTTGGATTTTTCCTAGTAGACTTCACTGGGGCTGGGTTTGAACTTCCCTTGGCTCACCTACAAACACATGAATGAGCGTGAGCGATAGCCCAGTGAATAATATCAAATACAAAAGTCATATAAACAATATGTAGAACAATATACTCCAAACGGCCTTGGGCCCAATTCATATTCCTACTTAACATATGTACATTTATACAAAGTTCAGATCGAGTGACTATAGTTCTAAACATATTGGCCTTTGCCCCATTCTGATTTCCATCTACGTCAAAACGGCCTTCGACCCATTCATTCATGTCAAAACGGCCTTCGGCCCATTCATTCATGTCAAAACGGCTCCGTGTATCGCCCGGAACGAGTGCAAAGACTCTCCCCTATCTCACTGTGTCCCCAGTAGTAGCAGATCTCAAAGTATTTCCCGGCTTTGGAGCTGATGCAGTTGAACTAGCTGCGAGTTTCCCACTGTTCTGATTACA